GACTTAGATAGTTTAACTATTGCTTGAGCGGACTGAACTACCCTGTATCTAGTGTGACTTAGATAGTTTAACTATTGCTTGAGCGGACTGAACTACCTTGTATCTAGTGTGACTTAGATAGTTTAACTATTGCTTGAGCGGACTGAACTACCTTGTATCTAGTGTGACTTAGATAGTTTAACTATTGCTTGAGCGGACTGAACTACCCTGTATCTAGTGTGACTTAGATAGTTTAACTATTGCTTGAGCGGACTGAACTACCGTGTATCTAGTGTGACTTAGATAGTTTAACTATTGCTTGAGCGGACTGAACTACCGTGTATCTGGTTTGTTTATCGAGACTCTTGCAGGAAATCTCTTCTTTTGTTTCAAAAAACATTTAATTAAAAAACCTAGAACCTCCCAATAATTTACCAGAGTCTGAATAAGACTGGGAGTATTTCAGGTCAATGTTTTTTCTCCTCCAATTTTGTTAGCCATTGCCACTTATTTAGCCCTCTGCACGATGTTAAACAACAGACTCTCATTGTAATCTGCCTGTAAATATGGAAGCTAAACCATCGTACACAGGCTTGAAATTACAAAGATAACATCTGTTTTTAAGTAAGTTTGACCGACTTCCCATTTGAACCAAGCTTAGGTACCGTGTGGTCTGGAGCGAAAACTAAAACAGTCAGACAAACTTATATAGAAATTTAAATGGACAAGATTCTTGTTGACAGAATAACTAAATCTGCTAAAAGGAATTAGTCTTGTATATTTATGGTGTATATTTAAATTAGCGTTTAATATAAACTTTGGGTCAAAGTATTAAATAGGACTGCTCCATTACACACACAGAATAGCGTTTACGATAGTATCCCTAATGCTCTTATAGAACTTACTTCATTATTGATTGTTGTTGTAAGTAAACTTTGGATTAAGTATCGTAAACCGTACCTGCATTATAAAATGACTGGTCACCTTTTTGAAATATTTTTTTTATAATCCACATGAATACTTTAAATTAATATCCATATTCAGATGATTTGATAAGGAAGAGAAACGTTCCTAATGACAAGTACAAATATTCATTAAAAAATAGGAATTAATCAAGCTAATCTAATAAAGACTTTTAAACACAGGTAAGTATTGATCTTTAAAATTTAGATAGGACTAAAAGGCCAGTGATTGGTGACCATATTCTTGTTCAATAATTAAATTGTTTGGCAAGTGTCTACACACCTATAAGTGTCTCCTCCTAGTGAAAGAAAGTTATTAGACTTATGAATAATTTATAAATGGATTTTCATGACTTTTTCATTAATTTGTATATTTTTTGATATAGTACAGCTTGTCTAAACTGTCTCCTGTCTAATCCAGATACCTGTCTATACCAGCTGTGATATGTGACTGTCCCCTGTCTAATCCAGATATATGTCCATACCAGCTGTTACACATGACTGTCCCTTGTCTAATCCAGATACCTGTTTATGCCAGCTGTTATATGTGACTGTCCCCTATATATACCAGCTAAAATATGTGACTGTCCCCGGTCTAATCCAGATACCTGTCTATACCAGCTGTGCTATGTGACTGTCCCCGGTCTAATTCAGATACCTGTTGATACCAGCTGTGATATGTGACTCTCCTCTGTCTAATCCAGATACCTGTATATACCAGCTGTTATATGACTGTTCCTTGTCTAATCCAGATACCTGTCTATACCAGCTGTTATATGTGACTGTCCACTGTCTTATCCAGATACCTGTCTATACCAGCTGTTATATATGACTATCCCTTGTCTAATCCAGATATCTGTATATACCAGCTGTTACACATGACTGTCCCCTGTCTAATCCAGATACCTGTCTATACCAGCTGTTACTCATGACTGTCCCTTGTCTAATCCAGATACCTGTTTATACCAGCTGTTATATGTGACTGTCCCCAGTATATACCAGCTAAAATATGTGACTGTCCCCGGTCTAATACAGATACCTGTCTATACCAGCTGTGATATGTGACTGTCCCCGGTCTAATCCAGATACCTGTCTATACCAGCTGTGCTATGTGACTGTCCCCAGTCTAATTCAGATACCTGTTGATACCAGCTGTGATATGTGATCTCCCACACTGGGCTCCTTAGAGGTTGGCAGTGGAGGGAGATCTCCCACACTGGGCTCCTTAGAGGTTGGCAACCCTGTGTAAACCCAGTGGAGGGAGATCTCCCACACTTGGCTCCATAGAGATGGATTGTAAACCCAGTGGAGGGAGATCTCCAACACTGGGCTCCTTAGAGATTGGCAGTGGAGGGAGATCTCCCACACTGGGCTCCTTAGAGATTGGCAGTGGAGGGAGATCTCCCACACTGGGCTCCTGAGAGATTGGCAGTGGAGGGAGATCTCCCACACTGGGCTCCTTAGAGGCTGGCAACCCTGTGTAAACCCAGTGGAGGGGGATCTCCCACCCTGGGCTCCTTAGAGGTTGGCAGTGGAGCGAGATCTCCCACACTGGGCTCCATAGAAATTGGCAGTGGAGGGAGGTCTCCCCCACCGGGCTCCTTAGAGGTTGGCAGTGGATCGAGATCTCCCACACTGGGCTCCAAAGAGGTTGGCAGTGGAGGGAGATCTCCCACACTGGGCTCCATAGAGGTTGGCAACGCTGATGTTGACATATCCTCAAAAGACGGATTGTTCTATAGAATTTGTTACTGATATTTAATGTTGTGTGAATAATACGTTTTTACGTTACATTTCAGATTTATGAATCGTATGAAACGAGTACCCAGGCTCTCATGACTCAGTCTACAATGGAGTATGTTGAAGACATAGTAAGTCCTGCCTACATGTTTTGTCTATATCGTCTCTCCTCTGATCTTTATTTTCCTGATCCTTTCCACCCCACCTCCCCTACCACTGGGTTCTCCTTATTCCCCCGCCCCATATTCCTCCTCCATCCTTCCCGTCTTCCTTTTTCCGCATCAATTTCTCTGCTACATTCCTTTTCCTCCTACTCTCTTTCTATTAACTCTACAATCCTGTTTCCAATATCTCTACCTCACTTCTGACCTTTCCATTCCTACCCCCATTACCAATGCCCACTTATACCTCTAGCCTCTACCCTTTTAACTATCTACTTCCTTATCTGTCCGTCTCCCCTACCTTCCTTATCTGTCCGTCTCCCCTACCTTCCTTATCTGTCCGTCTCCCCTACCTTCCTTATCTGTCCGTCTCCCCTACCTTCCTTATCTGTCCGTCTCCCCTACCTTCCTTATCTGTCCGTCTCCCCTACCTTCCTTATCTGTCCGTCTCCCCTACCTTCCTTATCTGTCCGTCTCCCCTACCTTCCTTATCTGTCCGTCTCCCCTACCTTCCTTATCTGTCCGTCTCCCCTACCTTTCTGTCCCTTTCTGTCTCCTTTCTCTCCCTCTCTCCATTCCCATTCATATCACTCCTTTCTTCCCGGTCATCTGCCTGTTACCTCCAGATGATTTTCTGAGGCCCGTTTAGGGTCCAATAAATTAAACAATTGCCGTCCACCACTAAATGGGATACTGATATTACAGATTAGTTTGTACAAGTATGTATTACATGTTTTTTTCTGGTTTTTCTCATTTACAGATCATTTTTGTCTAGTTCAAAGTCCTTAAGCTCATGCACTTAAAAAATAGAGTAAGCAGATTTTAAGTTCACTCATCTTTCCATACATTTCACAGCGTTTCAACCATGAAATAGGGTACCATCACACAATAGACACTGCAATTTCATCTACAGTGTAATAATTAAAATCCTCTCTCACTTTCAGGCTGAACTAGAGGCCCTCATCAAGGACCAGTTAAAGAAGAAAAAGGTAAAAATGCTTTGACACAAAAATCTGTTCTAGTTTACTTTAGTGTGGTAAATGGCCTGAAGCGGATAATCACATGTGTTATAATCCAGAATAATCACATGTGTTATAATCCAGGGTAATCGCATATGTTATAATCCAGAATAATCACATGTGTTATAATCCAGGGTGATCACATGTGTTATAATCCAGGGTAATCACATGTGTTATAATCCAGGGTAATCACATGTTTTATAATCCAGGGTAATCACATGTTTTATAATCCAGGGTAATCATTGCTTTATAATCCAGGATAATTATTGGGGTTTTTTCCCAGGGTAATCACATGTGTTATAATCCAGGGTGATCACATGATCCAAAGTAGATTTTGTGTTTCACCATCACTCTCTCACACTTGATTGAAATGGTCATTTTATATATCTCCATAGTAATGTAGATGTGTTCGGTCATACTGAAATCAGGGTGTCTGTCTATCGGTCCGTCCGAGTGTGGACAGATGTTTAATTGTCTAACACATGCTGCTTATTTTCCTTCTCAACTATTTTTAACTCACCTTGCACGAAGAGATGAGGAAATAATGAATTTAAAAAATACCTTATATCTTATAATGGTAATTCATTCTTTAGTTCTTAGTCCAGTGACCAGGTGTTAGACTTTTGTAAATGTAAAATCGCCCCCCCCCCTCCTCCCCCTCAAAAAAGAAGGAAAAACAGACATGCAATTAAGCATCGCTTTATTCTTCTGGAGTAGGGAAAATAAGCAATATAAACTCATGTATTGTTATCAAATTCAGTTTTATTTATAATAATGTTTATCTTATGTGCTCTCTCATTTATAGTATCAACAGCAAGTAACGATTTTCATTGTTGGGTACGAAAATGTGTGTGGGCAGAAGCTACGACTACTTCAGCAGGTTAACGAGGTAATTGTACTGTGTACAGGTAAACTATCTACAGGTAGTTACAACTCTAAATGTAAAATCTTTATATTTACCTGAAAAATCTTTAAGGCAAACAACCCAGTCTCTTGAGGTAAAAATATACAGACTGAATATGTACAGGTAAAAGTGTTACTTTACAGGTGTAAAGTGTATAAGTAGGTATCAGTATATTGGTAAAACATACATAAAATAACTGGAATGTCTGTGTCATATAAAATCACATGCATGTCTTGTGAAACCTATTATTCTCAAACTTTTACAAAGTTGGATTGTATGACATCATTAAACTCATTTTGCAAATCAGCTTTTTGAACATAAAAGAAAAATTGACAACATGCTTTCAGTTCTTTATGGACAATTCCAAGAGTTACGAGGAGGAAGACTGGTATCCTAAAACGCCAGATATTGATGTGGACGACTGTAGTAATAAAATTGAAGAGTCGCTTGCGACGGCAAAGGAGCTTACGGAGAAAATATCTACAATCAACTCGGATATGGTCGAGTGGCTGACGACATACGCCATCAATAAGGCTTCAACAAAGTGAGTAATTGTCGGAATAGTTTTGTCTCGTACAAGATTTTACAGGAAATCAAATTCCAATCTTTGAAATCAAAGAGTGAATGCAAATATTTCATAAACCGTTTTGCTTGTTCCTGATTTATTTTTGCATTTAGAGAGTAGAAATTCTGGCTAGCATAGATGTTTAGAATATGCATGTATTAATTAAGTTGATGCTAATTTTTAGAGTATTATTTGATCAATAATATACTTCAATGAATGATGACCCAAGTTTTTTGCTTCAGGATGTGTTCAAATTTGCAAAGTTAATTTCATAATTTACATTATTTACAAAAGAACTTAATATAGGTTAAAAACTGTACATTTGAAAGTTTAGACCAGCAAAGTCTCTCAAGTAAACACTTTACATTTAGAAATGATGAAGCCTGGTTAAATACTTAAATCTGAACAAGACAAAAACTGTATATATAAAACTGAAAAGTGTACTGGTGAAATCTGTACAAGGCAAAAAGTAAACCAGTTTTTTATACAGCTGGTAAAAATTAAGAAAATGATGGTTTCATTTTGAATAATTCTTAATAATATTATCACCATATAACGTTCTCACTTTATATGGTGATGATATAATTATCAAGCATCATTTAAGCTAAAATATGGGTTGGTTTCTGATGATATCTGATGATCGTGAATTATTTAATTGATAATAATTTCTTGGCCCTAGCTCACATCTTAATTCATGTGTGTTGTATATATAAATCACATAAAGTTTTCACTTTTGAATTATGCAAAACTGATTTGTTTGATTGTAGTTAAGCTACAAATATTTAACATAATTACCATATATGAATTATTATTAATAACTCCAAAGATAGCAGCATAGTAGAAAAATTGATATCGGAAAAATTAGGTTGTAAATATAAAATCACTAAAGAAATTTAAACCCACACATATTTTGTACAATATCTATACATGTGTTTTAATACTGAAAGTCAAGAATTAAGTAAAAGATATAATGCTTCTAATTGTTACTAATTGATTGATAGGTAACAAGCATATAGGGAATGTATTGAAATGAGATTATTTTTTTAATATTTAGGTATGCATTTGTTTTATTGAAATATAATGATTTTACATATCAATAGCATGTAACTGGAAAAAAAGGAAAAAGTGAACCTTTTCTTTAATCCATAACATTGATATGGTTTTGATATTTGATTTTTCCTCAAGAACTCTGAATATGGTTGATAACAAGTAAGTCAAATAGTGTGAATTGAACCAGATGGTACTGTGCACATGTTCGTCAAATATGTTGAGTGATCCTTAACGTTAAGTTGTTCATGTTTTCTGGATCTTTTAGAAAAAAAATGTGAAGGATCAGATTAATTTCCAGGTTTTCAGATTTCTTTTTTAAGGTGGCTCCACACTTTCGCAATTAACCAGCAAAATTCGTTGAAACTTTCATATAATGGTTATGCAACTATGTAGAGTTGATTTTATGAAAATCTAAACATTCCGATAGTTTGGGGACTTTTTTGGAAAAAATACAAAATAATGAATTTTCGTCAATTTTAATATTTTCNCAAATTTAAATAAAAAAATATATTGCAAGGTCAGAAAGCCAATCTTAATTTTTTTAATTAACTGTTCTGGGACCGAACCAGTTGATGTGAACTATCGTGAATGACTAATTGCATACCTTTCTCTCTCGTTAGATTTCACAAATGGAATTGAATAGGTTTGAATAAGTTCTAGATGATTTAAATTTCATCTTAATCAGCAGTTGATCAGTGAAAGATAAAGGTATGAATACTGGAAATCATGGTACGACTACACAAACTGATAAGGGTTCATAATTGTACAAAAAACAACATATACAATGGTTTTTACCAACAAATATTTTTATGAATGCTTTGTATTTAACAATCTGAGCGTGAAGAAAACCTAAATATACAACAACAAAAATGAAAAAACCTGACAGGATCAAAATGTGGAAAATTAGAAGAAAACCGGCTGTCTTTCATATTTTTTTTCCTCTAGAAAATCCTGTCATAATTGTAATTGATCTACTATGAAATCTATTCTGCAACGTTTCAACCAAAAATAAAAACAACAACATGTTTCCACATCTATTTTAGATTCATGTTTGTTTTCAGTACAGTAAACGTCCATTTCACCAAGAAAAAGTCAAAATATTTTAATTGATTAAATGATCCCTAATTATGCAAATTGAGAAATATTTTCTCCAGAATTGAAGCTGAATTTATTCATCAAAAAAATAAAAAATAAATGTCTGTCTGCAGAAACGATTTTATTTGTGAGCACAAGTTTGTTTTGCTGCACTTCACTTCTGTTTCAGATTCTACAAGGTCAAAGGTCAAGGTTCAGGTCAAATTTGGTTTAAATTTTGCCAATCATCATGAGAATTTTTTTTGTTTCTCAGAACAAAATAGTATACAAGACAATACTGATAAGATTTTATGTTTTGCTATGAAAACATGAGATAAATTTCATTTTATAAATTTTGACCTTTACCTTGAGATATTGTGTGCGTACCTGTGATATATTGGTGGATGTTTTCGTTATTTCAGTTTCTCCGTTAACAAATCCAGATTTTAAGTCTCTCAATTATTGGATTGTATACCTCATTATATAAGCTCTGTTTATATATATTTTTTTTCAGACATGGGTTTGTAAGGATTCATTTTTCTCCAGACTTTTGTTACATTTACATTTGCTATATGTTTCACCGCTCCTAGATGTGTGATATTTTTGAAAATCTTTAGACTGTAAAATATTCCTGTGATAAATGATGTCATGATACACTGTGACGTCCGACTTATATTGACGTCATGTTTAATGGACAGGCCTGTTCCTGATAGCTTCAACTCATAACTTTATTTCAATATATATCTGTACATAACGGTCTTTATCCTTTCTTTCTCATCAGAATAATGTGTTTTTATTGTTTGTCTATATAACATTGTTTGTTCTGTCCTATTTAACTAAATGAGTTATTTTTGACACTTATTTTACTGTGTTTTGGTTGCTACACAGAGTCAGCTAGGTAAGATCAGGTACCATGTGTGTGTTGGTGTGAGTACTGACGACTTGTCTTAAGTTCAGATGTAATATGTTTTATTTGTGATGGTGATAAATAACTGTACAGAGTGACAGATCTACCGCTTTTTTGTAAGTGTCAGTGGTTGATATCTACGGGTCCTCTGCAGATTACTTGAACTCATTCACCCCTGAAATTTCATAATGAACTATTCCAGCCTTTGAATTGAAAGAGTTCAAATGTGTGTTCAGGGGTGAATGTGTTAACAATTACAGGCAGACTTACACTGTTGATGATTGAAGAGTTGATGTTAGGGCTCAGATGATGATTACCTATTTATATGTACCAGGATATGTAAGGGATGTTTTCCACCCTGAACAGTATGGCTGTAGGCTTCTGAACAGTATGGCTGAAGGCTACTGAACAGTATGGCTGTAGGCTACTGAACAGTATGGCTGTAGGCTAATGTTCATTTCTGTATCGTTCATAAAAATAACATATCTTTTTCATATTGATATGAAGTGCAATGCCATTAATCCCTAATGTTACATTTGCCACATCACCAAATATACAATGATACAGACACCAAGCCAAATCCCCTTGCATTTATTGGGCTATGAATGCAATGGAATTTTATTAGCTTCATATGCAATGGAATTTCTTTTATATATTAGAAAAAAAACACTGATCATAATATGATGTCTTATAAGACTTAATGTATTCTCATCAGAGTTTTACAGTACAATAATTTATTTTTGAATTGTGAATCATATTTTTAAGAAGAAAAGTATACAAGGGAGGTAATTTTAAATTGTTAGAGAGAAAAGTATAAACATTGTTATTGATTATTAGGGGAAAATATAAACAAACAATGTTTTAATATAAACTTTGAAATTCTTCATAAAAAATTATCCATTGACATGGATGATAACGTATGTTTTAGGGGAGAAAACTCTAAAATATTGCCGAGAGGAAGGCATTATCCTGGTACAGTTCTACTAATTTTGTTTTACTATAACATGTTTTTAGTATTTCATTTGAATTTTTTTGCATGAGGAATCAAGTTTGTTTGAGAATGCTTTTGTGTTTGAATTGTTTGTTGGTAAAGGGATAATGTCGATGATGTTGATGATGTTGATATAATTTTCAATGTGTTCTATTCTAGGTGTTTAATTAACAAGCACTAATTAGTATCAATGTATGTGATGTAAATGAAATAATGTGCATTTTGTAAAAATTCTGTAAATACAAAATAGTATTTTTATTACTAGGTCACATGCCAGGTTAATTAGTTAAGTTCAATATAAACTATTATAACAATTATAAATACACTATCCTCGACACTCCAGGGGTAACGCTCACTTACACTCTCTGCACCCCTGGAATATGACAAAACAAAATTGAAGGCTCAATGTGCGCCACTATGTTGATGAGACGAGAAGCCTAGTTTGATTCTTTGATGTACATTAAAAGAATCTCGCGTTCGCGGAACATAACGTAACATAACGCGTAACGTAACAGTAAAAATTGACTGACTTTGAAGTCAGGTGTCACTCCTTTGTAATTTTCAAAGGCCAGAGGTTTCAGCCTAGCGATTGGTCAGATTTTTGAATCTGAGACCAATCAAACAGCTGTCTTTGTGCCTTCAATTTCGCTATGACATATTCCGGGGTTTAGAGAGGGTTTTAGTGAGGGGTTTAGAGAGGGTTTTAGTGAGGGGTTAAGAGAGGGTTTTAGTGAGGGTTTTAGAGAGGGTTTTAGTGAGGGGTTTAGAGAGGGTTTTAGAGAGGGTTTTAGTGAGGGGTTTAGAGAGGGTTTTAGTTAGGGGTGTAGAGAGGGTTTTAGTGAGCGTAATCCTAGATATTGATGATGTATATATAGCAATATAGGACTTTGATAGACATGATTCTCAGGGCTCCACAAAGAAGATAAAAAAACAGGTAATCTCTGCCAGATTGTTTATAAGTCAGTGATGAGCATTGTACCAGGGTCATATTCAGTAGAACCTTATCCTGGTTATGTCCAATATCCATTCATAACTTGAACTGATAACTTTGTCCTGAGTTTCTCTTAGAATTGTATTCTAGGCTATAATAATACCTTGATTCTGTCAGTGGTTTCTGAGGGGACACTGAAAATGTAACATCATAACAATGGAATGCTGAGTGACATTATAATCCAACATAAATAAGCTTATACAGGTTTAGTAAAAATGCTAGTCATAAACATTGAGAAAAAAAGGACTCGGTATAAATGTAAGAATTGCTTACCATGATCAAGGTTATCTGATTGTTTGTTCATTGATCAGGAGCAAGAAGAAGCTAGAATCAGCGTTAACGAAGGCGAAAGACGACGTGAAGGCGATCACAGACCAGCTGAAGTCAGCACTTTTAGGTAAGAAATGATGTTGAGGAATATGGTCATTCAATGTTGTAGATTTTACAAAAAAGGATAAAGGCTTCATTACATGCCCACAAAGAAATCAGGAGGGTCTACTGGAATTAGCTTGTCTGTGAATATAAAATCTTGACCAGACAAATCTCCCTAAATTTCAAAAATATTATATGCTTGGTTGGTTACATAATTAAGTTGAGCAGCTGACATTTATGTTTCATTTTAACTTTTTTCCCAGAGTCATTTAATCATTTCATGCCCTGTTTGAATAACATTTGTCATCGCTGGTAATATTATAATACATGGGGGTATATTTTATATTAAAAGGCCGACTTTTGAATTCAGAGATTGAAGATGGCCTCCTTGACCTCTGATTGGTTGATACAAATATTTGTTGTCTTCTTTCCAGCCCTAAATTTCCTCTTCCTCAGACCTACATACATTTTTAAAAATCTGTCAGTTTAAAAATCTTTTTTTTTTTATTGTTGCCAGAGCCATAACTTCTGACTTGCTTCAGATACTTACTCAATGAAGTAGGATGGTAAGGCTATGTGGCACTTACTACTACTGTGTGCACATGCCCAAGGTCAAGGTCACATTTAAGTTGGAGGTCAAATTCATACCCGGTAGTGCAGGCCATAACTTCTGATTTGCTGAACATATCTCAAAAACAGTTTAGGAATAAATATAAACGGCAAGATGGTTGGTTGCAAACCACAATTGGGTACGAACACCCAAGGTCAAGGTCACTTCGAGGTCAAAGATCAATTATTGTGTTCAGGCCATTTCTTGACTCGCTGAAGATTATAAGCATGATGAAATTTTGGGGATATCATGTATGGTCCATGGAAGGAATCTGTCATAAAACAGGTTTAACTGTATAAAAAATATATAACTTTTACTAACATACATATAACACAGTAAGTAATATGCCTGCCTGCACCCACACACTTGTTTCCAGTCTTGGTAACCTTTACAGGGTGCATAATCCATCAGTTTTAATGATTTTCTTATAATTTTTAGCTAATGATGAGAAAGATGAACTGATACAGACCTACCTCAAACAGTTAGAAGGGAAGACTCTGGAGGCTCAGAAGTTCAAGGCTGCTGCCGAGGTCGCCAAGGTAACAATAAATGTTTCCATGGCAACAACCAAAGTATTTTTATGAATGTTATCAAAAAAGTTATTCATTCACAATATAAATGTTTGTTTTTGTAGAAACATGGCCCAAATATTTTCTTTTCAATTTCCAGTTTGCTGCAATAAGAATGTGTTATTATAGACAGATTATAACTGTAATAATATTTGACTGAGAACAAGTGTTGTAAAAAGGTCTTATAAATAGCTCAGTTTATCTCTGATAAAAAAATCCTTGGCTTATTTTATTTTTATATAATATTGGCAGAGGTTTTTATTTTTTCATTATTGTGTTACTTACACAAATTCTTGTTTGACTTTTGAACTGTACCAGTATGATAAATTGTATATGAATGGTAGGTGTATAGAAGACTGACCTGATTTGTTGATTGTATATGATGTTTGATAAGTTTTTGATGTATCTGTTCTTTTCCATCTTTGCTAGTAAAACATATTCACAACAATTACTAACCTTAGAGTGCTTCAGGTGCCTGGTGCTTCTTACTCTGTCACTAACCTAGAGTTATCTCCCTTTGTACTAATATACTCGACCTATTTCAGTTTGAAGAGGAAATGAATACAGCAGTACCAATAAATTAGGATTTAGAATATTTCCGTATGTTTTTATTTCGTAAAAATTGATAACCTGTTGATCTTTTTATCAGTTATCAAAATAAAGAAATATATGAAAGTTCTGTCCATTACAGACTTTAAAAGAAGATTTTTTGGGGCGAAATAATAAAACTATAGAAATTACAAAAATTAATAAAGGTTAGTTTTATTATAATTTTTTTTACATCTTGGAAATGTTAACTCTAATAAATGAGATATTATTATAGTATATTATGGAATTGTTTTTATTTCAAATGTTGTGAAGGATTTTTTTTTATCTTACATTAATACAGTTTATACTCTAGAGAGGGTTTAGGTCTATACAAATATTGTATCGGATGTATATCTCCACAGGGAAGAGCATCAAAACTTAAGTTACTTTATGTAATTTAAAACAGTTCACTAATGTTGTGAAACATATATATTGCACTGTATCTCCAGTTGAGTTTATAAATTATAATTGATTTCAAATGTTAACACATGCCAATAAAATGTCTCCCAGTGATTTTTAAGCCTATATAAATGGGGTCCGGTAACGATCCCATTCCCAATGAGATTTCATCAAAATAATTCCCAATTGCCACCTAAAATTCCCAACTGATTACCAATTTTAATTCTTGTCATTTTAACCTGGTCATTTTTTTTGCGTATAGAATGCAAGTCATCTGCAAACGCTTAGCTGATCACGAATCACTGAGAAAATATGACGTCGTCTCACAACGGCAAATACTACGCCCCAAAAAAATGTGGCTATCAGACAGTAACGGCTCCGAAAGCCTGCCTTATCTCTTTAAACGCAAAAATCCACCACAGATGTTAACAGAACCTGCGCATGCCGGTCCGATTCCACTTGTCGAGACGGAGACGGCGTCGGTAACCCCACAAACATTTTGACCATAAGACCGCAGCATAATTCAGGCACTTTTATCCATGGATATTATACAATGTATTGTTGCTTCATACTTCTTTGCCAATTATAAATTAAATTTTGTGCTACCCTTAAACAAAACCTGAAGTCCTGGGATTGGGTAAATTTTTACTGTAATAGCCTTTGTAATATAATTTTTCCCCCAAAAAACATGTTTTCGCGTTAGTTTTTCCCAATATCCAGAAAAGCATTTTTTCCAAAAATAGCCTGAAAAATCACTGTCTCAAGTACAAATATCAAAAAAAATATAAATCAATGTTTTTTGAGAACTTTTTGTGTGGTTTCAAAAAGTGATTACCAAGGTAAGCACATTATTATTTTCTTAAAGAAAGCTTCCTTGTCTGTCAACGGTGGCACTAACATTTAAAACAAAAAGTTCATTATTTTGAAAGTGATGAGCAAGCATCCTTTTAATAGTACGTTATTAGTACAAAACATTTGGCAGGAAACCTGAAACAGAAGTGTGTTTTGGTTTGGCCTTTCTCTAGGATACTGTTTGGTTTGGCCTTTCTCTAGGATACTGTTTGGTTTGGCCTTTCTCTAGGATACTGGTGCATGGTGTATAATAGCATTATCATATAACGGTACGATTAAATAATTCCGAGGGTGTTTGTTAGTCTGGACTTGGATAACTTATGCACTCTAAATAAGAAACTATTGTCTAATTATCAGCAATTAAATAGGATTGTCATTTGAAGATGTCAGACTAAAAATGACTCAAACTCAGATACAGATTTATGTACTGTTAATAATAAAACAGAGACAGATTTTCATGTAATTTTCACAGTAATTATATAATTTAATTCTCACAGTAATTATGTAATTTTCACAGTAATGATGTGAATCTGTGAGGTCAACATGACAGGAAACATTCCTAGATCTTTTTTGACACTGATCAACAATGCTTACAATAATTCTTAGTAATAAGGACAATTAATAAAACAGATTTTGTATTTAACACAAATTTTGGAAAACATCCCTTTTTTCACAAAGATATTTATTTTCTTATTTAGTCCAGACTAAGAACGTTCCTCTGTACAAACAATTCCTCAGACTAAATTGTCTCTGTCGTGACTCTTAAAAAGAATTTCGGAGACTACCAACGTATATTTTTCAAACTGCAATTATAAAGCACTAATGTTGTGTGTTTTCGTGTAACAGAAAAATATATGTATCGGTTTGCTGATAAGTTCTGACCAGCTTTGCAGGAAGCACACAGTATGACAATGTTTGAGGAAGACTTTGCATGGATAATTGGTTTTCTGCTGGAAGAAATCCACAAAGAATTGTTCTGTTTTTAATGTATAATAAATAATAATGTTGAAATTATTTGAAAAATTTAAATAGCCTTTTCAAAATGACATTTTGATAAGGATCATTCAAACTCAATAAAACAACCACAAAGAAGGCGGAGCAAATGTTAAAAAAGGGCAGATTTTTTTTTTTTTTGTAATCTTTTGAGTAAATGTATGTTTTTTAATATTATTAAATTCAGATAATTTATTTGACAAAATGGGCTCATTATAAGATAATGAAAAACATTAAAGATTCTTATTTCTGCCCAGTTTCTGCCTTATTTTCCACATCCCCCGTCTGTGTTTGAAGGTTTCGCCCCTAGATCACCGAACAATTCTCTGTGGAGCTCTGTCTGCTTTATATATGCACTTGCGGGGCCAAATCTATATATAGCTAGTTCCACCCACAATATATACTAACAGAAAAACGTACAAGGGCTGGAGGCCAAGGAACTCGTCTATCAGGACGAGATCGAAAAGCGAAAAAGTGCCATGAAACAACTGCAAGATGATCTTAGGAAACTGCAGATGGATGTCAGCCAGTCCAACTTCCTGTCGGAATTAAACTCAAACCGACTGCGAAATAAAGATAGCGAATCAGCGGTAAGTATTAATTTAGTGGAAATATGTGTATGTTCGCACCTACTGTACACTGATAGATTGTTGTGAAAAATTACAAAAATAGATTGAGACAACAGATTGTTCTATCTGGTACAATAAGTCAATTGTCATATAAATGCTATTTTCGATTAATTAAAAGGAATTATTGAAAAAATGAAATATTTCAGCAACAATTCAGTTTCAATGTTGTGATAATATAAAAATTTCAAGATCAAAATTATCAGTAAGATAGCAAAATAAAACCTATCTGGTGTTAGTGTTTTAGTTAAGGCAGTGTGTTACCTCATACAATTACAGACAAGATAAAACCTATCTGGTGTTAGTGTTTTAGTTAAGGCAGTATGTTACCTTACAGACAAGATCAGTTCAGCTTTCACACTCTATTTGCAATGTTAGTTTTTTTTAACATTTACCTAAATCATAGTTTGAAAAAAAAACTTTGAAGGTAAAGAAACGGGTGATACAGTTTTTTTTATTGAGAAAAATATCAGAAAATAGATAAAAAATCCAGTTGAAATAAATAATATACAATATTTGATAAAGCGCCCTATCTAGCTAACATAAACCAATCTAAAGCGCTTTACAGTACATAGATATACAATTAATACAATTAGCATATACAATTTTTTGAGGAATTCGTGGGAGCTGCCTTATCAGGCACTAACTACTACGGTAGTCCTATGCCACCTTGCTAATATCTCCCTGTGTGTGTTCTGATAGTTCTGATATTTATTTAATGATTGTGTTAATTTCAAGGAATGTGAAACATTACAAGAGGTAAGAATGGAGGTAAACCTGTTTCCATGGTAACAGACTGACATCTTAATTTCATTTATTCAGTGATATCTTATATAATGCATATACTAAGTAATTGTCCAGAACTTTATTTAACTTTACTTGTTACAAACCTTTTGATTAAGAGTTAATAGGCTGGAAATATTTATGCCAGAATTACTTATACTGATACATCAATATTAAATATACACATTAAATTTTAAAACCCGCCAAAAAACTCATATTAATCTATGAATTAAAATCATGAATATTATTCTAGAAAGGAATATATATTCTGCTCCATGGATTTATGTAATTTTTAACACCTTTTCTATGCCCCTTCCAATGGATGGGGGGGGGGGTGTTGTTCATATATAATGTTACCCATTCCCCCCCACCCCCCCCGCCCAATGATGAATTCATATTGCAGGATTCTAAGGTCAATGCGAAGGTCATGGCTGCTACAATTGAACCCCAGCTTCTGCCCCCATAATAAAATGAACCCATTCAAATTTAATTTTATTATGCAATGTCAATTTTTTCTTATATTCAAAATTTATATAATTCATAATAAGATAAGTTAAATAATTTGATAAATCAGAAAGTCAAAATAAGGATTTTACAGGATTGTTTGGGTCATTTGTTTGTTACTATGGAAATGGTTTATAGATTTTATAAACGAGCAAAATTTATATTTTAGTTTTGCTTACAAGTGTATCCTGAAAACAAAATTTTATTTATAAATGTGTGTTTTTTTGTTAATTTTTGCTTCCTAGTTTGATTGTTAATGAATGTTAAAACCAATCAATATTTCCCAGTAGTGCATGAGTGACTTGTGACTTATTGATTTTACGCTTCAGTGATTTCGTCAGTTATCATTTATATTTCAATTTAAGGCCAATAACCAATTATGTTATCCATTTAATTACTAGTTAATCGTTCTAACACATTTATATTTAATTCATGTTTTATTATTTGATATATTTATTGATGCCATTGTGATTCTAATCTAAGCCACTTTTGTGATCGTAAGAACATTGTTCCCTAAACAGAATTTAAACCAGATAATTGAGTTATTGTTTAGGGAAAAAAAATCATTTTATGATAATATTCGAGTCGTGATTCAGCCTAATTAATTAACAAGGAAGATTTATTGAAGAGTTAATTTAAATGACTTAATAATCTAGAGAGGAATGTAAAGTTACGGTAAAACATCTACATGAAACACTGCTAATGATTAAGTGAGATAAATATAAATATATAAATGACTTCATTATCAAAAGAGATACATTTACAAGTTGATTGTCAAAAACTGTAGATTAGTTAAGGATATTTGTTTTTGTTTAAGTCATTAAATGTTCATAACTAATTTAAAGCATTTTAAATACAATATCAAATAAACAAGGCTGACAGAGTAACACCATGTTTTTAGTTTTGCTAAATTTACAAAGAATTTGAAATAATATTTTCCTAACTTAATATACCTTGTACTAGATACTTTATCCTTTACTTAACAAAAAACACATTTCATTTGCCCCTAATTGTTATATACATATATAATCTTAAGCAAGTTTGGCAGGGTATAAATATGAAAAAGGAATAAGTAATTTGTTTTGGTAAAAACCACAAACAAAAATGACAAATACTGCATAATATTTTTATTTTTTTTAAATTGTTATAAGAAGTAGAATTGTGTTAAGGTGTTTTTTATTAAAAAAAAAATGAAAAAAAAATATCCGAAATTTGAACTTTGAGGAGAACAGAAAAAAATGAAATTGTAATTGTCATTCAGATTAATAGTGATTTGTAAGCTGCTAGAAATAATAATTTTATATTGGATTTTATCACTTAGCCTTGTGTAGGAAATGTGATAAAATTTATGTAATATTTATGTTCATGATGATTTTAATTAAGCATTACATGATTTATGATTTGTCATTTCAATTTTTGCAGCGATTTTAAATGGACAGCTAGCTACAAGAGATGTGTAAAACCAAATTTCAAATTAACTTGTAATCGGACACTCTCACAGTAGATTTTCACTGTAGGGTTTGAAGGTAGAGTGTGTGTTTCTATAAAACAGTGTATCCATTCAATCTACAGAATGAATTACAAATTATATCCTGGTTTAGTATACATATTTATTGGATCTCTCGGGGTGTCCGTTTCCATGTCACAATTCTCGGTAAGTTTCCAAAAGGAAGATACATATTTTTGAACATGAGATCAAACTTTGAATAAGGTGAAATAATAAAATGATCCTTTGGGTTTATGAAAATGTATTTTTCTGTATGATAAATGAATTGAATGATGAAGTTGTACATAAATGTAAAATGAGCCGATTGGGCGAACTTTTCAATGCTGAGGATTTGATTGGTTAACAGGAATGTATGGATACACCAATGGGAGGAACACAGACTAATACCTCGGTGCTTTTGGTTCTGGTACACACACTCAACTGCAATATTTTTTTTTAAAATTTGCATGACTAGAAAATAGAAAGTATATACTGTATGATATAGTATTATGTGAAAATACACAATATCACTGCAAACCTTGTTTTATTCTCCCACACATAGCAAGGTTGAATTTAAAAATATATTGTCAATGTCAACTAATTACCGTATTAAAAACAATATCGCTCCATGGAAAATGCATTTGATTTGTGATGGTGTAGAAATGTACATTAAAAAGCATCAATTGATAAAATCATAAATATTTAACTTGAAAAAATATGTGACAGTACATTTTATAATGGTAATAACCAAGCAAGGGAGATAATTACATACCAAGGGGAGTTAATGGACAACAAAGGGAGGTTATATACAACAAGGGGAGGTAATAGACAACAAGGGGAGGTAATAGACAACAAGGTGATATAAAACTGAATAAAACATTTTGATCTTGGTTTATTTTGTGTGATGGAAATATATCCTAGTAAGGGGAAATATTTACTGATAGAAGGGGTAAACATAATTACCTAAACAAAGGGAAATAATGATCTACCTAGTGGAGCTACTCAATAGCAAGGAGTGATAGTTTAGAAAAAGGAGATAATTATATTTCAAAATAATGACTATTGCTAGATTTGAATATTAAAATCTGTTGAAATGGTCATGAACAATAATACCAGAGGTCATAGAAATTAGTGTACAAGTGTTTGTGTGATACAGTGTATGATACATGTACTATAGTAGTGTTTCTAGCCTGTAGCATTTACAGATTCTATTTCTCTTTATTTACAGATTATATTTCTCTTTATTTCTGTTGACATTTATCCTTATTGCTTTCTGTTTCCTCAATATTCTGTTTTCATGTTTCATTTTTATATCAGATTTGTTTCCCCTTTTTAGCTTTTTAAATGATTTGTTAAAGTGTTTGCTTTTGTTAAATTTATCAATTGTTTGATATAATTAATATGTTATACAATTTTATTATTTATAATATGTTACATGTGTAAATAGTACAGTAAAACCTGACTTTAACTGTACAGAATGTTTTTGGACATCCTGTATTTATGGCCCCTTGTTTCTCTATCTTCACTTGACTAATGAATGACTCACTACCCTATTTGACAAAACAAAATCATTCATTTTGAAGTTGTTAAAGACAGGTTTAGCTGTGTACATGTTTATGCGTGAAGGTATTATCTCCATCGTGCTTAGATTTGTTGTCTCCTTGAACAGTGTGACTGCTACAGTCTAACCAGCTGTAGAATAAGTCACAGCTATATCAGGAAGTAAATCTCTAAAACACTAGCATCTTTATTATGCCATTGAAGAAATTAGTGAATAGGGGAAGGGAGTTATTTAAAGGGCGGCCATTTATTTTTCTGACATCATAAAGGGGAGATTTACTAGATAGACATTAAATACAAAACTGTATTTAAATGAACTTCTATTCTAAGTTGTCAAAATGATTGTTAATATTGAACTTGATATTGTTATGTGTAGTTTAGTATTTTATCTGGACAGTTTTCAACCTTTTGAAGTTCATCTCGGATTTGGCGATAATGATATAAAATGCTTTGATTTATTTAATTTTGTAGACATCTTATTAATGTTTGGTTTATCAAGTACAAATATCTCTTAAATTATTAAAGGAACTATCAACATTTGATATTAAAAAAAAGGAATTTGATACAAATATCGCATAATTTCTGAAGAGTTTAAAAAACCTTTGTCATTTTTGCAGCAGGAATAGTTTTTGCCTATTTTAATATACAAACAGGATTCGTGGTAACACTGTTAAAAACAATGTAACACATATAAAAGCTGATCCAAGTTCATAAAACTACAAACATTTGTGGTGAAATAAATACAATATCTGTAAAGCTGAAACTGAGTAGTAAGTCTACCCAGCTATGTAAGTTGGTACCACTATTAGGGAAGTAAATCTGAATTGAACAGTCATAATTGTATAAAACATATTTTAATAGCATATATTTAATCCGTGCCAACAAAATGTCATGTTTTACGATGGACTTAATTAGCTTACGACTATATAATTTAAAAGTGAATTGGTAGGCAAGGTCAGAAAATATTTACTATAAGGATTGAACACAAAGAATTTATCTGTTGTTTTGTGTTTTCTCCAGATTAAACTTGAAGAACTACAGAGTGTCGTTGAAAAACACAAACTAGAACTCCACGAATCCAGGCGAGGTAAGTATTATAGTTGATGTCAGCCGTCGTTTAAATCAGACACGAGTACTATATAGGGGTGGTCTATGAGACTGTATAACCTGGTGGAGAGACACCAACCCTACCAAGCTGTATTCCTGTTAACCAAGTATAACCTGGTGGAGAGATGCCAACCCTTCCAAGCTGTATTCCTGTTAACCAAGTATAACCTGGTGGAGAGACACCAACCCTACCAAGCTGTATTACTGTTAACCAAGTATAGCCTGGTGGCGAGACACCAACCCTACCAAGCTGTATTCCTGTTATCCAAGTATAACCTGGTGGAGAGAGACACCAACCCTACCAAGCTGTATTACTGTTAACCAAGTATAACCTGGTGGCGAGACACCAACCCTACCAAGCTGTATTCCTGTTAACCAAGTATAACCTGGTGGAGAAAGACCAACCCTAACAAGCTATATTCCTGTTAACCAAGCATAACCTGGTGGAGAGAGACACCAACCCTACCAAGCTGTATTCCTGTAAAACAAGTATAACCTGGTGGAGAGACACCAACCCTACCAAGCTGTATTCCTGTAAACCAGGTATAACCTGGTTGGGAGAGACCAACCCTACCAAGCTGTATTCCTGTAAACCAAGTATAACCTGGTGGAGAGACCCCACCCCTACCAAGCTGTATTCCTGTGAGCCAAGTATAACCTGGTGGAGAGCGACAAACCCTACCAAGCTGTATTCCTGTGAGCCAAGTATAACCTGGTGGAGAGCGACAAACCCTACCAAGCTGTATTCCCGTTAACCAAGTATAACCTGGTGGTGAGACACCACCCCTCCCAAGCTGTATTCCTGTTAACAAAGTATAACCTGGTGGAGAGAGACCAACCTAACCAAGCTGCATTCCTGTTAACCAAGTGTAACCTGGTGGAAAGAGACCAACCCTACCAAGGTGTATTCCTGTTAACCAAGTATAACCAGCTGGTGGAGAGAGACCAACCCTACCAAGTATAACCTGGTGGAGAGACACCAACCCTACCAAGCTGTATTCCCGTTAACCAAGTTTAACCTGGTGGGGAGAGACCAACCCTACCAAGCTGTATTCCTGTTATACAAGTATAACCTGATGGAGAGAGACAAACCCTATCAAGCTGTATTCCTGTTAACCAAGTATAACCAGCTGGTGGAGAGAGACCAACCCTACCAAGCTGTATTCCTGTTAACCAAGTATAACCAGCTGGTGGAGAGAGACCAACCCTACCAAGTAGTATTCCTGTTAACCAAGTATAACCAGCTGGTGGAGAGAGACCAACCCTACCAAGCTGTATTCCTGTTAACCAAGTATAACCAGCTGGTGGAGAGAGACCAACCCTACCAAGCTGTATTCCTGTTAACCAAGTATAACCAGCTGGTGGAGAGAGACCAACCCTACCAAGTATAACCTGGTGGAGAGACACCAACCCTACCAAGCTGTATTCCCGTTAACCAAGTATAACCTGGTGGAGAGAGACCAACCCTACCAAGCTGTATTCCCGTTAACCAAGTATAACCTGGTGGAGAGACACCAACCCTACCAAGCTGTATTCCTGTTAACACTGTTCCCTCATCTACACAAAGCTGTTCAATCAAACTTTAAGCATCCATTTGTGTTTACTAGTTTCACCCATAGTAAGACTATAGATACCAATAAGATTATTTTATACCTGCTGACATAGCCTTAAGGGTCCTCGTACCACTGCCAAAAAATTTAATTAAATGGAAACTTATTTTTCTATAGATTTGATAAATTAGTTTTGAAAAAAAATGAACATCTTGCAGGGCTTTTATGAAAGCATGATGGGGATTTAATGAGAACATTATAAACAACTGAGTGTAAAATTCTGTGAGGCTAGACTGGGATTCCAACCCTCATGGACGTCAGATTGTTATACATTATTATACATTGTACCATTGCTGAAACTGATTGGGCAACGAAAGTGTACAAGCCCAAATGTGCTTCAGTTAAGGGGAGATTACCTCATATAGTAAAAACATCTCTGACCTGTGTATCTGTTCTCTCCATACTTTACATCTCTGAGCTGTGTATCTGTTCTCTCCGTACTTTACATCTCTGACCTGGGTATCTGTTCTCTCCGTACTTTACATCTCTGACCTGTGTATCTGCTCTCTCCGTACTTTACATCTCTGACCTGTGTCCCTGTTCTCTCCATACTTTACATCTCTGACCTGTGTATCTGTTCTCTCCATACTTTACATCTCTGACCTGTGTATCTGTTCTCTCCGTACTTTACATCTCTGACCTGTGTACCTGTTCTCTCCGTACTTTACATCTCTGACCTGTGTATCTGCTCTCTCCGTACTTTACATCTCTGACCTGTGTACCTGTTCTCTCCATACTTTACATCTCTGACCTGTGTATCTGTCCTCTCCGTACTTTATATCTCTGACCTGTGTATCTGTTCTCTCCGTACTTTACATCTCTGACCTGTGTACCTGTTCTCTCCGTACTTTATATCTCTGACCTGTGTACATGTTCTCTCCGTACTTTACATCTCTGACCTGTGTATCTGTCCTCTCCGTACTTTACATCTCTGACCTGTGTATCTGTTCTCAGAGTTACTGGCCCTTCACCAGGACCAGATCACGGCGCTCCATGAAACCCACAAGGCAGACTTAGAGACTGTGAGACTGGAGTATGCTGAAACGATCAAGAAATTACAGGTAGGAGGTTCTCACTTCTATATATATCAGATTGTATGATGCTACCTTTTATTTGGAAATCCTTTTTTCAGCGAGTCAGACTGGACTGAGTGCGATTGTGGACTGAGATATAGAGTTAGAGTCATTCCATAATTCTTTCGTGCATGCTTTAATTTAGATATTGTGAAAGTTAAAATTTAGATATAGATGAAATATTGCTAAAAAAAGGTACAAACTTACAAAAAATCCTGTTTCAATTGGAGTTTTTCCCCTTAGTATCACTCAAGCTAAAATAACCAATTTATGGCTTTGTGTGACATGGAGGGAAAATCTTTTCAATTGTGTGAAATTTAATAGGCTCACATTGTGTGAGACACATTTCAGCGTGAGTTAGGATGTCTCACTGTGAGATTTAGTGTGAGTAACTCTGGTGACGCAGAATTTGCACTTGTGATTTTTTTACGATGTACCTCCCATATTTAGTAAAATGTACTTAACGATTATCTGATAAAAGTCCACAACTGCCGCTCAACCACCAATATCAGAAATACATGTACTGGCTTATTAAAGGGGAATGTCTGTTCTCGTATTACAAGCTCTCTATTATGACTGAGAATTTCTATTTTATCTCTCAATATTAAGTTTTCTGACAGGATCCAGAATGATGAAATTGTTTATTACTTTATTTTACCTGTGAATGTGTTGTTGTCCATGTTACACAGATAGACAGCTGCTGCGACTGAAGGTTCAAAGCTTGTCAAATTATTGCTCAACTCAAGCTAGGATTTTTTATATAAATTAACGCAAAAAGATGATGTTCTCTGTTTTCAGCTAATAATTTTTCAATCTATACATGGGTTTTACATTTGAATATTTTGAAAAAATATGCAAGATGGAAAATTTTGGTTAAGAGATTTTCTTTAAATATTGGGCTAAATTGTTGTTAAACTTTAGATAAACAAATAGTTTTGTGGTGACTTGTCGCTAATTAAACAAGCTTTAAACAATATGGACCAGACATTGCTCCTATATATATCAGAAATGAGTTTATTTAGAAAACCAGTTATGGAAATGTATTACACTGAACAGCTTGCATGATTTATTTTCTGAAGTTGTGTACATGTAGAATCACACAAGTAAAACTGATTGGATTGTCGCTGTTTGTTTATAAAAACAAGAGACCTAAAGGCATGAAATCTTTTTAGTTTTGATAATTTAAGACTTTCACTGATTTGTTGAATTACACATATTTTTATTTTACTAATTAAAAAAAGAGAACAATATTACGTCGGGTTTACACATTGACTGAAACTTTAACTGGTTTCTTTATCTGGAAATAGTAACAGATAAAAGATCTACATTTCAGAGAGGGTCATTAACATGCTATAAATACTGCTTTCTATCATATTTTGTGTGGTGCTGATTTGTACAGCTAGATAGACTAGGAAAACTCCCTTCTATTCCTGATCTCTGGCCCTCCCCCCACCCCCGCCCCCCAAGGATATCATTCTTTTTAAAATAGTATGATTTTCATCAATATTTCTTTCGAAAAGTGTTGTTGTTACTACCTATATATTTGGTGATATATAATCATACTTATAAAGGGATCGGGGAATATTTCCAAACTTTTTTTTTTTTTTACATTTATGGCATTTGCTTATACATTAAAATGTAACATTTCTTATTTTGGAACTCTTCTGCCATGGTAAAGTAAAATATACCATATTTGACCGCATATAAGATCCCACTCAGAAATAAGCCCCCTCCCTACCCTTTTATAAACACATGTTAATGTATACAATTGTAAACAAGTCAGAGAATCTATAAATACACAAACAAAAGTTATGATAACTACCTCTGGCTTAAAGAGATTAACTCATTCACCCCTGAATTTCATAATGAACTATTCCAACCTTTGAATGAGAAGAGTTCAAATGTGTCTTCAGGGGTGAATGAGTTAATCATTATTGATGTACATCAACTCTCCATGTTGCTTTACTCAAACATCCACAAAAGAAGCACATTCATTTCATTTACGTTCACATGTTTTTGTTTAACGTCTCTTTGCTTTGAATTGGCATTTTTTAACTGTCTGTTATATTAAAAGTCAATTTCCTATCTTTGAGCCTAAACTTTTAACTGTCTGTTAAAAGTCAATTTCCTATCTTTGAGCCTAAACTTTTAACTGTCTGTTAAAAGTCAATTTCCTATCTTTGAGCCTAAACAACTTAGCGCTAGGTGAAAATTGATTAGATTTGCTTGTATGCCTTACCTGTACAAAACTTGGGTGTTTTAAGCTTGATGTGTGGTCTGTGAATGACGAGGCTCTAGAGAGGAGAGTAAGAAAATAAAGAAGGAAGTGGAAGGAGGGTGAAAGTGAGGGGAGGTTAATTTCATCCTGATTTTGGTTTTGAGTCTTTGCAACAACGAAGGTCAATTAAGAGTACACAGAAGGTGCGACCAATCAAGTCATATTAAAGTGCCATCTTACTGAAATTTCATAACTTGGCCACACTTTCTCACCAGATAACAGGCTAGAGGTGCCTGGACAGACACATCAACACTGCTAATAGAAAAAACCCTCAGGTGTAGCTTGTAGGTTGATGTGTGGTCTTGGATTACAATACGAGTAAAAAGACAAGAGACATATATACCCAGCGGTATATAGTAGGTCTGTGCTTAGGTCTTTGGAGTCATCACAATAAGCATCCCTTTGTGACCAAGCTATTGTATACAGAAAGTCCATTGTTCTATGACTCCCGGACCCTCTGGGAATGTATTGGCGGAAGAAGACAACAAACGTTATTAGTAATGTGAAGGGAGATATTAATATCGGGCGAATACAGTGACAGTTGGACTATTAGCGAAAGCTTCCCGATATAGAATACATCTTCAGGAAAAGCAAATTTAAAAATTGTTTTTTAGAAGTAGATAAATACAGACTGGGCAAATAAAGTGAAAATTGGATAATGTAACTATGAATTGTGGGAAAATTCATGTCAATAAATTTTAAAAACTTACCAATAAATTCACCGAGACCCCATCTGATTTGACAGAGCCTGTTTTGATTGACTCTGGTGTTAAATTGTATGATATTAAACTCATATTAAATAAACATGCCAGCTCCAAAAGCAATTGAGGCAAGAACAATGATAAGTATATGTTTATATATACTCTGTACTTATATATTATATTCGGGCACTCTCTATACACCGAGGAGTAAAAGGCCTTGTATAGTATTAATACAGTTATTAGGCACTCTCTAGACGTGGAGGTAAATTCTGTATAGGGGTATTCATGGGCATTATGGTCAGTAATTAGCCGGTGTATATAAACTTCTGGTCAAATGGGCCAGTAGTTAGTCAACAAGCATATCCTATAATTGATATTTCTATCAGCATCACAGGAGGGGTGGAGGTACGTAGAAACAATGTTTTTGTGCGAGCTTTAATTAATATTCCAGTAATTGGTTTGAGTATGTTAAGAATATATAGTTTTTTTGGTTTATTTGATTTTGAATCAGATTTTGTTTTGTTTTTGTTAAAACATTGGAAATTAATATTAAATCCATTGGAAACTAAGCAACATTAAATTTTGCAAAAAATGCTGATTCTTAACTATATATCCATATATATATATATATTATACACACATTTTGTATAATTAGATGAAGTTAAGTTATCCCCCTTGGTTGAAACAGTTAATGTAAATCCGTTTGATTTCCAAGAATAGTATCTATTTTAACTAATGTGCATCAAACAATTAAGCATCAAAAAAATAAAATTAACAGACTTAAATACACGGTGCAATGTTTCTGACTGCCAAGCATTGTTTCTGACTGCCAAGCAATGTTTCTGACTGCCAAGCATTGTTTCTGACTGCCAAGCATTGTTTCTGACTGCCAAGCAATGTTTCTGACTGACAAGCAATGTTTCTGACTGACAAGCAATGTTTCTGACTGATAAGCAATGCTTTTGCGATATTTTCCGTTGAAATTAACATTTTTGAGGAAATGCATGAAATATGAATAAGAAATATGAAAGACAGGTGAAATGCAATATTGATTCACTCAGATAAAAAGCGTTTTGTACAACACAGCTCCTCAGGGGTGCTTACAGTTACTAAAGTAATATATCGAAACTTTCACAGTAGTAATTGAAAAAAATAGATCTACACCAAAAGTTGCTGGTCACACCGAAAGTAGCACCGGTTACCCGGGGTGAAATGGAGGGCTGTGTCACCCACCCACTCACCTCAATCACTGTTACCAAGGGCAATGTAGGGGAGATTTGTGTCGGAATCTCAGAAGAAAATATACAAATCAGTTTGATGTGTCAGACTGAAATCTGACAAGGTCAGTGTCAACCACACCACCTCAGAGGAAAGTAAAACCTACTGGGATTATATTGTATTAAATCACTGATGATGACATGTACTCAAAGTGAGAAGAAAAACACTTTGTTTTCTTTCGGGTTACCACTTGGTAGGTGGTAAGGCATGTGTTTGCAAGATGTGCATTTAAATCCAAGGATTGACAATTTGTTTGATCAAATGTTGATTCAAGACATACCAATTTCTTTCTAAAGCATTTCATTTTGTTGTTTAACTCTCCTTAAGTGGCCACGGTGGCCAGGTGGTAAAGGCGTCTGACATTCTGCTACCACCAGCCCTCCACCACTGGGTCGTGGGTTTAAGGCCTACGTTGGGCAGTCACCAGGTACTGGCCATAGGTCGATGGTTTTTTCTCCGGGAACTCCGGCTTTCCTTCACGACCAAAACCTGGCACGTCCTTAAATGACCATATGTGTTAATAGGACGTAAAACACGAATAAATCAAAACCAAGTGGCGGAATTTTGTGATTTTACCTTTGTTTTAGAACTTTTCTTTATTTCTGCAATCATTGCGAAAAGTGGAATGACATTTCAGTGAGATAGCCTTTTGGTGGGACTTGTATACTTACTTTGATAGTTTGTATTGATATGTGGAAGAGATATCAGATGCTGATATGTGATTGAAACTT